ATATTTACCAATATATATATGTGGTTTCTAGAAAAAAAACTCTCCTGCTTTGAATTATGTCATTTTTGTGTGAACACGGTATTTCCCCCTTAATAAAAAACAATGACTCAAACGTCACGGAGAGTTAAATCTTGCTGCATGCAAACTCTGGAATTTGAGTTTCCACATCACAATGGATGAAAAAAAATGACTCAAAAACATCTGTGACGCCTGAAATTCTCTTTTGCTTCAGATTTTTACACTTTAAACTGGTTTAAAACAAACAAACAAACGATTCTCTTCTTTGTGTGAATGTTAAAAAAAAAGGTTTTCAGAGCAACGCTGCAGTTTAAGTAGAATATAATTTTCAACTGGAATTACATAAAACAAAGTTGCTTCGCAGAGCTCCTCCTATAAAACACAAACATGTTCTTATGGGTGAACGTTTAACAAACTTTCAGGAGAAATATGTGAACCATCTGTTTATGCAGCTCGGTTTTAAAACTGGTGACTTTTTCAAGCCACTGAAACCTGAGCCGTCTGCTGCAGAACTCACCAAGGCCTTTCAGGAACTTGTTAACTCCGCTCTGCTCCGTGTCCGGCAGCTCCTCCAGATATTGATCCACCCTCTGCTCAAACAGACCTGCAAACACAGAAACATAGATTTAAAAAAAAAACAGAAGAAGAAAAATAAGATCTCCATGTTTCTGGAAGAGACTATTTTATTTTTCTCTTTGCCAGGAAGAATTGAGGGATGTGGTGTGAAAATGTGCTGATGGTAACTTTCCACCACTAGAGGGCAGTAGAAGCGCAGCACGTTTCTGCTGCATGGTGGCTGCTGAAAGTGCAGGAGTGGAAATCCATGGAAAGAGAAGTGCAGACGACAGGATGAACCTTTGAGCAGAGGCAGTACGTTTACAGAAAACTAGCTCTACCTTTAGCCCTGGTTTTCCTCAGCTCCCGATCTTGAATGAAGCCGGCAAACATCTGGGACTCCATGAAGACGCCCAGGAAACGACGGACGCTCTTCGATGCCACCGTCTTGCGAAAGGCCTCTCTCTGAAAACATCGCTCTCCACGCTCGTTCTGAGTGATGAACAGCGAGTAGTGTCCCATGGTCTCCAGGAAGAAGCGGATGAAAGCCTCTGACACCAGGCTGTTCAAGGAATTATACTCTAAAGGCAAAAAACATAGGAAATTAGAGTCAAAGCAGAACTAAGACGACAAATCAACATCAGCATGTGCTTTAATGCTAAAGTTTTAAACAATAACTTTATGGGATCTGCTAGTGCTTGAAGTATAGCATGAGCATAACTCTCAGCTACTATCAAACCAAATCTTAGCTCAATATCTATGAAGATGACTGAGCAATCGCCTCTTATGTATTTGTTAAAGTCAGTTAGCTGTGGCGGCCATTTTGAATCAGGTTAGCTCCAAAAGGTAATCAGCTGTAGATGTACATTTAAATATTACTTTGTGGGAGTTTCATTCAAATCTGTCCATTTCTTCATGAGATATTTTGCTAACAGACAAATTAACATAAAAGCGCATATAGATATAGGCAACTACACAATCAAGTTTATTATAAGAAACTTCCAAACCAAAAACAAGGCCTGTTGAAGAAGTAAAAAAATCTGAAAGATTGATCCGTGAGCTTCAGCCCTGATGTCTGTTTTAGACACGTGCTGCTGTGAGGSACCTGAATTAGCTTTTTACTGCTGGAAGATGCACAGAAATCACTATTTTTAGTTTCCTGTAATGTTTTATCAGTCTGACTGAGCTCAAAGCAGTAATGGAGAGGTTGTTTGTTTAATCACCTGCAGTGGTGGGCACAGTTCCCCTAAAGCACTAAAGCACTAATAGTGGAACTAATGTCTTGATTAGTGCTTTAGGGCTTTTGCTATTTTTTTAAATTCATTTGTGGATTAGCCCTTGCTAAATTCATGGGCTAAATTTAGAAGCAATAACGGAGGTCTTCAAATGTTATTGATCAACATTATTGTTCACAGTTGAGGGTGAAAGCTGACATACATTTTGTTTTTATGCGTGTCACTTATCAAACTTAAGGCCCGTGGGCCAAATGTGGCCTGCGGGTGACTCCTATTTGGCCCGGCAAGAGCAATAAGTGACAATATCCAGAACATAGTAAATACTGTCTCATGTTGACTCTGAAGAATGTTTCATGTGTCAACTGGATTATTTAGTGCTTTAGAATTAGGGGACCTAAATATTTGAGTTAGTGCTTTAGAGCTAGTGCAACTAATATTTAGATTAGTGCTGCCCACCACTGACATGAAGCAGTAAAATCATTTGTTTTAAGAAGTATGTTGGGATTTTACAAGGATCTTCATTCTGTGACACAATCTCAGTCACTCGCTCTCTCTCGTTGCAGACATCAGTACCAACATGATGTCACCTCTCAGGTGAGCCTCCGTGACTTCCTGTCGCGAGTCGATCTCACAGAGAGTTTCCGCCGCGTGAACCGAGCTCCGTCGCGCCAATTAAGCAGCACAAACGTTTTGTCTCGTTAGCAGGAGACGGCCYGTCACTTACGCACCTTCGTCTGACTCGCTGTCAGAGTCCTGGTTGACGATGTCGTTCCTCTGCTCCAGCGCTTGCTCCAGAGCCGCTTGGAGTTTCCGTGGCAACAACGAGGCCTCGTCATCCATCTGGAAACAGTTGAAAGTATGAAATAAAAATAAAAAAACACTTTTCCTCTTCATAAAATATTTTTTATATTGTATTTCCTTGTTTAGTAAGTTGTTTTAGTGAAACAAACGTCACTGCAAGAAAACTGTTTATGACAAGGATACTTATTCATGCTTTTTTTTAAATCATTGAAGAAAATTTACGACATTAACTACCACACGGTGATCACTGTTACATGTAGCATGTTTAAGTTTGGGTTTTAACTTATTAAACGCGTGGACAAACCTGTCGGATGAAGCGGTCAGTTCCAAGGTCGACCATTAAAGCCTGTTTGAGGGAAAGAAGACTGGATTATAAATCTGATCGCTTCTTTTCAAACACCAAAACATTAAAGTGTCCTTGACACTTTAATTTTTGTAATAAACATGAATGCRTTTTTGGACAGATAACATTGAAAACATGCTGCAAAACAAGTTTCACGCCGTTCAGATGAACGGTTGTTGAGATACTGGCGTGTGAAGAAACAGGAAGTGATGTCAAAGGGGAATGGCAGCATGTAAACAGAGCGTTGCTACAACAGCTAACAACACGGACTGTAGAGAAGAATCTGATGTTTCTTTAGATTATTTTTAGTCACTATCAAAGAGAGATAAAGAAGAGTTAAAGTTTAAATAATTTTGTTTTAATAAACAAAGACCAGAGTTTATTTTATTAATGAGTTCCCCTTTGATGTCACTTCCTGTTTCACTTTGGCTGAGACAAATTTAAAAGAAAATAGGTCACTTATGTGACAAAATGGGTAAAATCATGTGTACTATGCCAATTTTTTTAAACATAAAAATGCTTTCATTGCCTTTTAATATTTGAAGGATAGGCGTGTCACAGGCACTTTAACAATAAAATAAGACAAAGTACAAAACAGAAACATAAACTTATAAGTATATTTATATACTTATAAGTATAGTTCATGTTTTATGTATGCTATTATATTATGTATTAGTTCAATCAGACAAAAAAAATAGAGAAAAGTGTAAGTATTCAGAGTCATCATTTATCAGATGAGTCACAGGAAGGCGGGGCTCTGTGCTCACCTCTTCCACAGGCAGCTCTTTGAGTTTAGGCAGCGAGCTGGACAGCAGCCCCACCAGGAAGGGGGTGGGACAGCAGACGATGTCCAACATGGAGGCGGGCAGCACGGGGATGAAGGTGTGCTGCCAGGAGAAAGGGTAGAGCAGCGCCACCACAGCGAGCATGCAGCTGGATAAGGTGCTGAAGATGGAAGACAAAGGGAAATCAGACACGTTGGAAATCATTAGGAAAATGAAAAGCTGCAGACATCAAACCAGAATGTGGGGTTTTAAATGTGGAGTTAAAATTCTCTGACTGCACTTTAACATTTMGTTCTTGACGTAGCTCATCCTCAGCAAAGACTTCAAGATCCAACGGCTTCTGGAAAAATCAACTTTGATCTCTAAAGGTTTTTTTAAACAGAATTCACAACCAACCACAACGACGAACGCTGAGTTCAGTAAAAAGCATCTTTGTGACGTTACTGCAGTCCGCCTGCAGGGGCGGCACCACTCTGACCTGCTGCTATAATTAAGCCGAGGGTTCTTGTTGATGCAATAAGAAAGAGCAGCAGTTGAGTTGAACGTCGACAGCTGCGAAATAACATCGAGATCGCAAATAGCAGCCCGTCTTTCTCACGATCCGCCGCTTGTTGACAGTGGCTGACCCCCCCCTCCTCCTCCTCTCCGTCCTCCGCACAGCGTCCAGTCCGTGGACACAAAAACAGTGAAAACAAACCGTGGCTCCAATCACACAGAGCTTTAAATCAGCATGGATCACGAATAAGAGCAGGGATCAAACATGGTATGCAGTTTACTTATGAGAAATATTTTATATTCTCAACAGCAGAGTTAACACATTATTGAATTTCTTTCATTAAAACGTATAAAGTTTCAGTCTAGATACACTTTAAAGACCTAGCATTCCATGAGGAAAAGTGTATCACCCAGGCTTTTTATGCCAGTTTTAGACTCAGATCCTCGTGTGTTGACAGTTGTAGCCGTTTGTGTCAAAACTCCACAATAATTATCCATGGTGGTCATCTTGATCGACTCCAAAAGTTAAGAGTTTCATTAAAATCCATCCACTGGTTCATGAGATATTCAGACAAATGAACACAAACACACACACACACATGAGCACCTTTAGCCTTTGGC